ATACATACGAGGTGAGTTTCCCTTCAGTAGGAACAGGTCTAAGGCACCAAGGCCGACCTGTTTATATAGTGATAGTATGTCGGGGTAAGCCCGATGTCAGGGTTAGCCCGATGCAATTTATATGTGCAATTTATGTGTTCAGTTTATTCCGTATTTTGGTCCGATGTCGGGGTGGTCTCGAGAAGTAGTTATGTATACTTGATGTCTTTATGATTCATGCATGTTTATGTTATGTGTTATATGTTCCGGACTCCCATCCGATGTCGGGCAAGCCCGGTGCAGTTTATATAAATATATTATATGTTTACATTTATTTTATGATCAGTTTATTCCGGACTTTGGTCCGATACAGTGGGCGGGGACCAAGTTGTTCCGGACTTCGGTCTGATGCGGGGCGGGGCCGGATGTAATGGGTGGGGTGCAAGTTATTCCGGACTTCGGTCCGATGTCGGGCGGTGCCCAGAAGTTGTTTATATGTGCTTTGTATGGTATGTGGTAGTTTGGGGGAGCTCACTAAGATTCATGCTTACATTTTTCAGTTTTGGTTTCAGGTACTTCAACTAGCAAAGGGAAGGGCACGAGTTGATGACATGGAACACACCACAGTTTTTCTTATCCTGAGAGTTTACTCTGATATTTTATATGAGACTATGATCTGTTGACAGATTTTATGAGATTTTGAGATACATGTTCTATGATTTTATACTATGGTGATGATATTTATGTTTGTTAAATGATTTTGAAAACGAAATTTTTGGCTTATATTTTTGGGATGTTTCAATTTTGGTTTGAAAATTTACGTTGTCACATTTGGATTTTGTTTCAGGTACTTCAAATGATCGCGGGAAGGCGAAGGCGTGATCGTGCACCTCCTTGCATTTTATGACTTTGTTTCTGGGATACTAAGATATGGAATTATTTTGAAAACAAATTTGTAATAAATATTGGTTTTGAATGTTTTAAAAAGTTTTAAATTGACTAGAAATTTTATGGATGTTATAATCAATTTCATTAATGGACTTACATTCTTATTTCAAATTTCCAAATTAAAACTCATTAATTTATTTTGTTTATTTATTTAAATTTAAAAGATAAAAAAATCAATTTTAATAATTTATTATTTTTCGTATAAATTTAATGTTTTTAAATATTTACAGTTTTATATTTATTTTTTTTTAAATTAACTCATGTAATACATTAGTTTTACACCTAGTTATACAATATAAGAAGACAAGAAAATAAGGAAGCGTGTGATATGATAGATAATGTTATTGAAGATATACAACAAATGCCAAATGTCAATGCAAATAGCAAATTAAGGCAATTGAAATTTTAACAAAGATTAAATTCGCGCCCGATCGTTTTTTAAGATGACGGAAGAAGAAAATATGTGTTACATATGATCGCGGATGGCTCAATATCACGATTAAGCTATTTTAAGCTATGTTTTTTCTTTTAGTTTTTACGAATATTGACGTTGACTATTTGCGCATTCCATATTAGACATAGGTATGTTTTTTAGTTCTTATGAATATTGAATTTAACTTTTTGCACATCCTATATTGGAAATAACTTTTAAATAATATGATTTTTTTATATATTTTTAAAGTTTTGGATCTATGTGTAACTTATTCATTGAAATATGTCTTCAAATACAAGATGTATATAAAATAACAAGAAGATAAATTATTGGGTTAATGTCATAAAAACCCTTAGGTTTTCAGGGTTTTGCCCAAAGTTGAATTTTATATCCGCTTTTACCCTAAAATTTTCGAAAAAAAATGTTCGGTTTTACTAGATGTGGCAATCGTGTCGTGTCGTGTCGAAACACTAAACGAGTTGAAAGTGCTTGACCCTAATCCGACCCATTTAATTAACGTGTCGTGTCGTGTCAACCCGTTTATTTTTGTGTCGAGTTCATGTCGGGTTTCGGGTTAGGGCTATACCTTGAAATATGTCGTATCATGTGAGGTTAAAAGATTGAGCATGTTAAAAGAGTAGGAGGTGGGTATGCGGAGAGGAAAAACTAATAGTTTGGAGGCAGAATAAATGAAGTCACAGCAAGTTCAGATGACAAAATTAAAAGAGTGGGAGATGGGGAGGCGGATGAAAAGGTCGCGAGGATGTGAGAGTGGTGAAAGAGACTGGGTAGTTTGGGAGAGAATGAAAAAACTGAAATTAAGTCTTGATCTACGCGGCTAAGTCATTTCAACATTACAAAACGACTCAATTCGAAGGTTTTCTTTTACTTATGGTTTTGGTTTTGTATCTTTCTACTTTATTTAAATAATTCAAAAAATTTGCATATAAATAAACGGGTCATTTTCGAGTCATATCCGAGTTGAAATTCTCAACCCTAACCTTACTCGTTTAATTTTCGTATCGTGTCGTGTCAACCCGTTTATTTAAACGGGTTGAAATATTTTTTACCCTAAATATTTTTTTTCTTCATAATATACATATTCATGTAGAAAAATCATATTTATATACGAAAAAATATTTAATTAAATATTGTATTTATATTTTTTTATTTGTTTGTGTGTGTGTGTGTTTGCAAGGTTATACCATTTAAAAAGATAAATAATATTTTTAGAATTATGAATACGTGTTTTATAGATATAGTTTTTAAAAGTATAAATACATATTTTTGTTGGAATAGTGTCTAAGGCTATAACTATATTCGGTGGTGCATGGTCCTTTTGGGTTGCCTTCACCATAGCAACTTGAAGGATGATTTATTAAGAGAGAGTAAATATTATAAGAAATAATATTTGGCTATTTGATTAATATAAGTCATAAATTAATTGGTATTAATTTGGTGACTTAAAGAGATTAATTAAATAAGAGGGTATAAACTGTCAATTGTTTGATAGTTAGACTTTAGACTAGAAATCCATTAGGATACACCTTGGATGGATTCTAAGAGCTTTAGATAAGCTAAAATCGTCCATAGGGTTATCTATGGAATGGATTTGGATAGCCTTAAGAGAAGATTATCCAATTAGGGTTTAGGGTGAAACCCTTAAGGAGTCTAAAGGTATAAATAGGCCTTTGGGATGGGGAATTCGTGTACAACCTTGTAGAACCTGAAGAAAGGAACCTATGGTCGAATTCCATTCCCTCTCTACTCTCCTAAATCATCTTGCTTGCTATTGGTGTTTGTAAGCCATTAGAGGAGTGACAATTGTGACTCTAGAAGCTCCAAGACAAACAAGATCAACAAGGGATTCAAAGGTATGATTCTAGATCTGTTTTAATATTGTTGTTTAACCTAATTAGCCATTAGAAGTCTTGGATTCAAAAGCATGTTTATTAGAAAGCCTAGATCCAAGCAATAGGGTTTTGCATGCGCACATAGGAAAGTTCTTATGGCTAAAACCCAACAATTTTTACATTATTATATATAAATATGTATCTACACTTCTAAAAATATATTTATACTTAAAAAAACATATATCAAAATATATATTTACACTTCTAAGAACATATGTATATACTTATATAAACATGTTTATGATTCAACAAGTTTTTTTTATTGATATATATATTTTTAAATGCATAAAAATATGTATTTGTAGTTCTAAAAACATATTAATTTGCGTTTTTTTTTACATCTTAAATGGTTTATCCAAGAACCCCCCCCCCCCCCCACACACACACACACATATATATATATATATATATATATATATATATATATATATATATATATATATATGAAGAATATATATATATATATATATATATATATATATATATATATATATATATGAAGAAATAACATTAAAAAAATGTAAATACAATACATAATTAAAAAAATTTCGTATATAAATATAATTTTTCTGCATGAATACATATAGTATGAAAAAAAAAATACAAAAGGTAAAAGTGTAAAAAAATATAAACTTATGGGTAAAAACGTAAAAAACTATAAACTTAAGGGTTTTTTATGAAGCTAATATAATGATAACCTGTTATCACCGGTAAAATGGTAAAACGAACATTTTTTGGAAAATGTTAGGGTAAAAAAGGACATAAACATTAATTTTGGGCAAAACCAACAAAACCCTGAAAACTTGAGGGGTTTTATGACATTAGCCCAAAATTATTTGGTAACAAGTAATGTTAAAATGAAAAATTATAAACATAAAAGATACATATTATGACCAATTAAGATATATACCATAATGCATATTTATAAAAATAATATTGTTTGAAAAATGAATAAACAAGTTAAAAAAAACCCATTTCCATTTCACTTTTTAATACAACCAAACAAGAGAACTGATTTTCAAAAATATTTTCTTTAGTGAATTCTCAGTTGTATTGAACAGTGTAGTGATTTTTTTCCTACAACTTTAAAGATTTTCTTTGCATCTTCATTTTCTGTTGCGATTCAATTTCTTTGTACCAAATACGTCCTAACAAACTTTAACCATTACATTTGATGAAAGTTAAAAGAATGAAAATGAAACCTACATCTCGTTCTTAAACGAGTAGATGGAAAAGAAGTTAGATGTAAAATGACGTAAATTCCCTTGTATGACTTACGCATAAAGGGACCTAACGTCGTATGACAAAGTGAGGAAGGAAGAACAAATACCGATAATATAGTTTGAATTAATGGTCATTGTTGCAACAAACAAAAAATATCTTTCCTCGGAAAAAAAATGAGTTCATTCCTGACTGACTAAAAAAACATTATTGATTCGTGGAATGAAAATGAAATCACATTCTGAAACGGTAAAGGGTATAATCACCACCTTAAAAAAATGATATCACCTATACGTCATGTCATCTCCACTACCAAACCACTGGTGTTTGGAAATGATCACCACTCCACAAACATTCTCCTTTATTCATGTAACTAATGAAAATAAAGACTTTTTTATTAAAAGTCAAAAAAGGTTAGTCAATCAAATCTTCTGTCTTCGTTTGTCGTTTGTCTCCAACACCACTCTATAGCTAATTCACCGGCCTCTAGGAACCCACGCGTGTTACCCCTCCTTAGCCTAAAAAACACTCCAGTTCATTCTTTATAAAATTGTTTTTATTCCGTCGAAATAGTTCATTCTATTCCCCTGTGATTACTAACCATGTGTTTTTATAGAGGGACTGAAACTGTATTTTGACAATATCACAAGGGACGATTTTTGTGATTCCCTCAAATGAAAACCACCAGAAGATCGTGGAGTCACAGTTTTACATAGCGCTGCACGCACGGGAATACGCACACCGGTGGACGGCCGAAAATGGCGACGGAGAATCGGAATCCAGAAATCAGGAAAGACGCAGTCAACAACCGGTTGGTGATTCTATCACCGGCTCGATCTCGCCGTCCGTCAGACTTCAAATCTAAATCTCAATCCAAATCCGACTCAAACCCGACCTCCAACGGCCAGCCGCAGTGTCCATTTTGTGCCGGAAACGAGCACCAATGCGCACCGGAAATCTTCCGGTTTCCTGAAGATTCTACTTCCGATTGGAAGGTCCGAGTGATCGAAAACTTGTATCCGGCTCTCAGCAGACAACTTCAAGTAGACAACGAGGAACACAGTCAGGCCAACGGCAGCACCGGTGAAGCTAGTTTGGGTGGGTTCGGATTCCATGACGTCGTAATTGAGTCGCCGGTTCACTCGGTTCACTTGCAGGATTTGTCACCAGCAGGAATTGCAGTTGTTTTGCTTTCTTATAAGAAGAGGATAGAACAGCTTTGCGCTGTCGAATCAATCAGTTATATTCAGGTATTCTTCGATCCCTTTCTGTTTCACAATATGGAAACCTGAACTCTAAAATTCAATAATCTTACAAACTCACATGATTCTGTAAACTCTCCTAACGTTTTTGCAAGTTGAGTAGAATGGATCATATTCTAGAATTTCGAAATTGAAGATCAGGAATCGAGTAATACAAAACTTATTACAACCTTCATCTACTTATTTTCATCTTATCTTTTCTGATTGTTCATTTAATTTATATTTTCTTAACGTAAGCACAATCTAACTTACAGTTTATAAACATATTGTTACTCATTTGATCCCAAAATCAATACACGAATGTAATTTAATGAAATTTCTCATACGTTAATCTGTAGGTGTTCAAAAACCATGGAGCCTCAGCTGGAGCTTCAATGAGTCATTCCCACAGTCAAATCCTAGCTCTTCCAGTTATCCCAACCATTGCCTCCAATCGTCTCAACACCATGAAAGAACACCATAACCAAACAGGAAAGTGTAGTCTTTGCAGCATTAACACACACAAACTTCTAATCTATGAATCAACACATTTCACTTCAATTTCTCCATTTGCCTCCACTTTCCCATTCGAGACATGGATTGTTCCACGCTATCATTCCTCTCACTACCACCAACTTGATGAAGATAAGGTACTACTATTTCAGAGTTCAGTCATTGTATATTGATTCCTAATTTCCTATCTTAGTATCTTCCTCAGAGTTCATTTCTGAATACTGATGGTAGAATAATGTTGCAGGCGTTTGATCTTGGAGGAATACTGAAACTTACACTTGAAAAGTTATCCTTACAGTTGAATGACCCACCATATAATCTTATGATTCATACTTCACCTCTTCACATTGTTTCCTCTGAGTTACCTTACACTCATTGGTATATACAAATAGTCCCACAGTTATCTACAATTGGTGGTTTTGAAATGGGAACAGGGTGTTATATAAACCCGGTTTTCCCAGAAGATGCTGCTAAAATCCTTAGGGAAGTCAAACTTCCAAATAAGGAATGAGTTTTTTTTATATATAGTTTTGTAAGATGTAACTTAGACTTTTATGATAAAACTACTTGAGATAGCATATTGATAAGGTCATGAGGCTTTTTCCACAAGTTTTCCAAACATTCCCTGATATGCACGTTTTAGTTATATATCTAAATGTACTTTTATGTCATTTTAAATTTGTCATCTTGTTTATCACTTAGTTTTACCAAACACTATTACTTAAAAGTTTGTTTTTCGGCTACTCTGTCAAACACGGTGGTGAATAGTTGTATCAATAATGATGTTTGTTTGGTTAAAGTGATATACATTTTATGGTCTTTTTTGTTTTCTTTTTTTTAGATAGAATAAATTATTTGAATGACCTCATTCCAAACAAACAAGTATCACAATATGCATAAATTTAGCTGTATTCATCATCAATTTTAATTTGAGTGGTTGGGAGGAAAAAGGAAGGGGAAATATGTCATTTACACATAAAGCTAGGTTATTTACTCAACTCATTAAGTTGTTGTATCAAGATTGAGTAACAAAGAAACATCTATTTATAGTTGTCTAGATTAAGTGCTTAACCCATTAAGTCAAAACGAAACAAACCCTTAGACCATAAAACATATAAAAATTTCATCAGGCAACAACAAACTTATGTAAACAACAGTTTTTGTACCAAGTATGGTACACACTACCAAAAAAACAATACAGAATCACTAGAAATCAGGTAGGTACGAGGTTGTACCCTTTATCTTGATCTTGTTTCCAGAAGAAACAAATGACAGCAATAAGTAGAATCACTAGTCCGGAAGAAATTACAAAGGTTGATGGTATTTGAGATTTCTTTTTTGCTTCCTGAAGAATTACTTGAGACGGCTGCAAATGATTATCCCCATTTGGTGGGATGTCTATGTCTTCAGTTGAAGACACAGATTCTAAGGTACCATAAATCTGTTCATTTTCATCCATGAAACTTTCATTTTGATCAAAATTCGATGTGTGGCTCTGATTGAATTTGCTCGGTGATGGGCTCCGGAATCTTCTACTTTGGTTCCCTGAGCAGTCGTCATCTGGATGCTGAAGTGACATCAGTAGTTTCCTAGGAGTCGTGAAAAGGTCCATGTTGTCAACATTAACATATGATCTCGTTCTCTGGAACAAAACCCACAACTGTTAGATACACCAGTTTATCTAGAAGAAAATGTATATCCCCCGACATGTATTAGACTTGGACTGATGTTCGTTGAATAAAAATCATATTTTTTGCCCCATACTAAAAAGTGAAACAAAAACTTGTTGTAAAAGACATAAATGCCCTCCCATTCTAATTATTGAAAACAACACTAAAAAATAGTAAATAGTTATAAAAATGTCTAAATTTACCTGAGGAGACCTTGGAGTGGGCTTTCTTTGCATAAATCCTGAAAATCCATCTTCATAATCTCCTTGTGTCTCGGATAACTCGCTATTTTCAGAATTTTCAATAACGCTCCTCGGAGTACTCATTCCACTCGAAAACAACCCATCTTTTAAAGAAACATCCACATTACTCCATAGCTTTCTATTAACACTTCTATCAGAATCAACATCACAAGATGCAAAACTAATCGAAAATGGTGAATACGATATAGAATTATAATCACCAAAAGAATCCATAATTTGTGATTGAGGTGGCGATTGGTTTTGTTTTGATCCTTTTTGAATCAAGATTCTTTTCGCGGTTTGTATCGCTTCAAAGGCCGCACCTTTAACATACGCCATTTGATCGTTTTGCCTCTTCTCCATTTCCTCAATCACAAAGGGTAATTCCGACATTACACATTTATAATCCAAACTCCTCATCAAAAAATTCACCATTTGAATAGCCGATAATCGTTTTTGTGAATTCCCCTCCTTGACTCCCATATTCAAAATCCCAATCCCGGACTGAATCAACAACCTTGCATACGCTTCAACAATCAACCCGTTATGTTTCGCTAACGCCATAACCAACCCCATATGTGAATTTACAATTTTGCCCTTCTCAAGAGCTGCAGCCACCCTTTGACAAACCTCATTCACCATTTCGCTAGTGGAAAATCGCCAATTATCCGAATCCACAAGAGCTTTCAGACAAAGGGCAGAACCCGAAGATAAATTCTCGTGACTCGATAACAAAGAATCCGAAAGCGGTTTGAAAAGTGATCGAATGATTTCTCGCTTCTTGTTATCGTTCGTGGTGGGGTCCATTCCGTATCGTGCGATTGCGGGGACCACTTTCGCGCAAGCTTGATGAAGGGCGAATGAGCTTGCTGTTGAAGTTAAAGTCTTGATAATGGTGGACATGATATTGTCGATTTGTGGAACAATTTTGGTGCCATGAACGCGAGCAAGAACTTCGTAAAGTGAGATTGTGTATTCACCTGATGTGGTTCCGGTTTCTTTGGTTTCAGAGACTTGAGCGAGAAAAATTGGGATTGCTTTTGAATCAAGATCCTTTACGTATGATTTCAAAGCTTTCATGGCGGATTTTCTACTTGCTGCATCTTTATCGAGATTTTCCAACTCGCGGCGTAGAACTGGGCTCAAGCTTCTTCCCATCTGGTAAAAAAATTATCAACAAGATGAACAATTGAAGGAGATAGATCTAGAAATGCTTATGAATCACAGATTAAACTAAACCATAGAACTCAGATAGATCGTAGTCGGAAATACTCTCGAACATCAAGATCTAAATTCCAAATAAGCTAAGAAAATTCGAATTTAGCAACGATGGTTGTTCGGATTCAACTTCAATTTGAAAAGAAAAGAAAAAAAATCAATACCTTGGTGACGAATAATCTCTTCGCAGCTACTTTTACCTTAATCTTTCTTGAAATCGTTGACTAATTTGAATGAGAAAGAACATCTGAGCTGTCGTTTGTTAGAAGATCGAGAGGTTGAAGAAGGAAATCGATTCTTTGAATGAAAGGATTCGAGAAATCAAGATGTGTTACTATTGAAGTAGTGAGATTGGATTGGATTTTGGAGCACCGGATATATCGCTGGAGTGTAGTAAGATAGGTGTGTTTTAATTTGATCGAGTATTCCCCCCATTTCTTGATGAATATTTGTTTTTTAGGGTTTCCATTTAATTTCAAATCTTTTTGGTTAATTCCACCGCTACCCTTTCATCTGTTTGTCTCTGACGATTCTACCCCTGATGATCATTATTATAAACAAAAAAACAAACAATCACTATATTTTCAAACAATTATCTTAAAACGTATAACTTTTTTCATTTTAAAAAAATAGGGATGACAATTTATGTTAAACGAGTTTTGGTTAAGTTTTTCTAACCCGTTTATTATATATGTTTGTGTTTGTGTTTGTGTTTGCAAATAATTTCAAAGATTGATATATAAACTCATTTATTTTATTAGATAAAAAAAATAAATATTTACTTATTTATTAAATAAAGGAGAGAATAATGACTGATAAGTAAATATGTAATATTTAGATTTTTTCCCCTATCTTACAAACTCATATAATTAAGAGTTACATGTTAGGGTTGAGTAAGACGACACAAATATTTATAAAAATCGTGTTCAGGTTGAACTTTTATTACCTGTCAACCCGAACACAACACTATTTTTTAGACAAAACTATTTATATTTTAAACACTTATTAGAAAACATTAATATTTTAAAGATTTTTTTCAATATAAACGTAATTTTTAACTAAAATTTTCAGAGTTTTTACTTCGAAAAAATACCAAATCACCAGGCTTTTTCTTTTCATTTCTCGTTTTTATTTTGTTTTTTTTTTCTTTTTTCTGGTTTCATTCCTTGTTTTCTTTTTTATTTTTATTTTTATTTTTTTTTTACTTTGGAAAATACCAAACCATATTTTTTTAGTTGTATACAAAATAACATTTTCAAGGAAAGTTCTTATATAATCTTTATGAGATACGTTGGATGTATTGTGATCGAAGAAAACATGAAAGTAGTGATTAATAACAAAAAATGAAAATAATAATAATAATAATCAGAATTGAGAAAACCGATGGTTTTATATTCCAATGTCGAAAACAATTTTTTTATTTTGGTTTTGGTTTTAGTTAAAGTCGAACTATATTACTCCTAGTGGTTAACAAACTCTGATCCGGTCATAAATTAGGTTATATTCCAAAAAAAAATGCTTTTTCTTAAAAAAAATGACGTATGCTGAAATGATTTTTATATATGATTGGGTTTTCTTAAAATTTTTAGACATAAGTGATTTTTCTGAAAATAAAAAATAAAATTGCGGCTTCTTGGTTAAAGGACTTAAAAGTTAATATGTCGTGTTCTTTAAAAGAAAATCTCTGTTATAGCCTTATTGGGTTATATATTTTGACAATAAAAAACTCACTATATATTGACCTAAGATATTTTTTTTATCTACATTTAATTTTCTATATATAATTAATATCTTTAATATGATTAATTATTAAGCCAAATAAAAATAAATAAAAATAAATAAAATTGTTGTATGTAGTAAAACAACATTTTGGACAATTTTGGCTTCTTTAGCTGTAAAATTTATTTTATTTATTAGAGATAAGATATTACATAAATCAATCAATCTATTAGTAATTCAAACTGAAGTCATACATGATTTTGCATGCATTGTTTTACAAATGATAGTTTTTTGGTTTTTCAGTTAGCATGTCATATTCTGATATTTTGCTTCAATAATATTTTTGAATATAATGACTATTTTAAATGGAAAGCAATCAAGATGGATGTATGCAAATATATACATAATTTCACCATCCATAATTTACGATAGGGTAATAAGTTTTGATCAATTAGTATAATGGCATAAAGTATTGTAGTGAAAACTGTATTTTAAAGACTTGTATGTCTGTATGGTGTACTTGAAGGAAAATAATTAGAAAGTGAAGGATATTAATGGACAAGGGCAATCTTGCCATTTCAGTATTTTGTACTTTAGCTGGGTCCCTTTATTTGACTATTGGCCTTTTGGTAGATTTTCATTTCCCGCTCCATGCCATTCAAAAAAACTGAATCAAGAAATAATAAATAAATGACTACAAATGCACATTCTACTTATTTATTGTTCTGTAATATGTCAAAAAGTTATATGGGACCCCGTTTCCGTGGGGCCCTATCCTGTTTGGGGGAATTTTTTAAGAAAAATTGGGGACGGGGGAACGGTTAACCCTCGTTTTAATTTCGGGGGCAGGGGCAGGGTAGGCAATCACATCCCGAAATCTCCATGGGGACCCCGTTAATAAGTTACACATATATTTACATATATTAATTATATAAATATAATAAACAATAACATGATTTTTGAACTTCCAAAATTCATCAAAAAACATGTTTTTAAGTTGTTAGTATAATTTTTTTAAATGCCATAACTTTTTTATTTTTAACATACAAAATTTTGCTATAAGTAATTACTTGTTACCTAAAAAATAGTTTCTTTTAGCATAAATAACAATTTCTTTTAACCCAATAAAATAGCA